ATAGTGCTGTGAATAGGACCTTTTTGCTGTCTTGGTAAGAATAATTTCTGTACTATAGAAAAAATATATCAAACTAAAATAGTGGCTTGCATTGTTTCATGCCATTAAAACACAATACTTAATAATACTTAATTTTAAAATACAATGAAACCAACGGATACATGTTTACTTTTCTGTGCCAAGTATTCTCTAAGTTGCAAATACAATTTGAATTAGAATGTACCTTTTAAATTAAACAGTAAATATTTATATTTAAATAAATATGCTGTTTACAGTGTGAACAAATATTTGATAAGTAATTTAAGCATCACAAGATATCTGTTTACAGTAAGATAAATGGAAATAGAGAATGCTGCTCATCTGCCACAGTGTGTACAATACTGCAGCTATGTAAGGCATGTGTGATACTTTTCACAGTTATAGCTAAATTACTGATGTCTTGTCCCAGCAAAGTATACACTTAATCAAGGTTCTTGTTTAGTTGAGATGTTATGTCAAAATGAGTGACTAAACTGGAACAGATCACTTCAAATTGTCCTTGTCTTCCAGATCAGTTCTCCCCTGCAGCCTACGCTTGTGATTCTTATTGCATGCCACAAACCTTGCACTACCCCACAATTTTTATATGATACCTTCTGAATGAATGAATTTTTAGCATCATTAACACATGTCTGTGGCAGCCGTGTGAAGAGATCACACAGCACCTCCCTTTCTGTTGTGGCTGAGGTTACCCTGCAGTTTTAAAGCACAGCTGGCCTTTGCTGCTCTGCCTGAATGAACCTATACAATGAGTTTGTGATCAATCTCTGAACAGCCCCACAAGTCCCTGTCTACTCTGGTTATACCGGTCTGTTAGAGGAGCCCAGGGTTCTGCAAACTCTCAGCAATTTGATTCTTTAGGATGTCTCAAATATGGTCAGCTCCTTGTTGAGGCAGAATGGTTCAGTCCTTGTTTTGTTCAGCACTACCAATCAGTTTATATTGCCTTGCATTGGGAAGGCTTTCTTCACAAGGGTGAGATGTTTTTATCATATGAAGGCTGAGATTCCTATTTGCCCCTGGATTTTCTGGCCTTGCTTCAAGTGTTCTTCATTACAGTACAATGGGGGCTTTCAGAATGGTTGGTTAAAGATTCAGAGTGACAAAGATGCTGTTAAGGAATTTACAAACAAAAAAAATGCTGATTTCTTTACTTCAGCTGGTATAAATGCACAGAGTATAAAAGTTTGGCTTTAGATCTTGAGAACTGTGTAATAGATTCCATGGATGGGATTGCCTTTGAAATCTTTTTGCCCAGTTCATTGCTCACCATGCAAGGCTACATGTGAGGTTGCTGTAAATTCACCTGATGGCAAGTCATGGCAGATCCTGGCTGTGCTCCCAGCATTGATAATTGTTATTTATTAGACTAATAACTTTTTGACATGTTATATTGTGCACACTCAGAGCTCACCTAGAGAAGGTTACATAAAACATTGACCTCCATTGACAAGATTAAATTGAAGTAATTTCCTTTTAGAGGTTAGCAGGTTTGTGTGTTTGTGTTGTCAGCAAACAGGACTCTATCCTCTTTCCTCTGGGCATTATCTGGAATGCAGTGTCAGAATGCCAGATGAATTTATTTGAATTTTTTTCTCCTCCGATTTTTAATTTTCTGTCTGTCACATTTCAGCTGTCACACTCAATCATTTCCTTGGAAGGAAAGTGCTCAAAAGAAGCCACTGTACAACAAAAATGCTGATCTTTTAAAGTAGTATTTTGGAGCTGTATGTATTAAATGATTTTTAATCCTCAGAACTTGCAGGACCACCTGAAATACGTTAATTTTGTAGGCTACTCACTTGCAAAAAACCCTCAACAAACAAAACAAAATCCAAACCCCACATAAATCACACAAAAAACCCTAAACAAAACAAATACCCAGGAAAATATTAACTACCTGTAATACCATAAGGACTATTCTATGCTACAATTTGCTTTAAAAAAACTCACATAAATTGTATTATTGTGTATATACTCGTAGAATTTTTTTGCAAAGAGAAAATACAGACTCAAACCAAGAAATGAGTGAATACTAAATCAACCAAAGAAACAATCAGTCCTAAATACCCTTAATTGTGTAATGAGTGGTTTCATTTATTTAGAATATAGCAGATTTTAATACTTGACTAGCCTTGCCACTTATAGAACATGATGAAAGAATGCCTACTAATTAACTCCTTTAGAAAATGAAGTAACCCACTGAATGAAAGAAAATAATATTCTTTTAGAGGTGATTTCATTTATATTCTGACATTCTTATTTTAGGTTTGTCCATTTTTCCTACCCTTTCCAAAGTATTATAAAACCCACGGTCAAAGTACATTTACATTCTTGAAATCATAAAGTCTGCAAATTGCTGCAGAAATTATTCCATGATACATAACTCAAATTCAGTTAAAGGATAACAGCATACTGCTGTTTTAGTAAAGAATCTTTCATCCCAAAATGTATCAACTTTTTGCTTAAAATACAACTTCTGTGTTAAAAGTTGGAGTCAGGTGTTGGGAATGCTTTTAATGGGGATTTTAATCATAAAAAATAACTGGGAAGCCCCTTTGATTGCTCTGTGACAATCCTGATAAGTCTTATAGAGCCAAGCAGCATTATGAAAGCACCTGTGGCTCATCTTTAGCTGCAGCAAGACAATGCAAATTCAACAGAGAAAAGGGAAAACAAAACTGTCTCTTTAAAGACAAGAAAAGTGTTGGTTTGGAAACAAAGTTCCTGCTGGAACTTACCTGTCCAGGGGGAGTGAAGAGGGAGGTGGCTGGCCAGACAAGAAGCATGAAATATATAATTTTATTTATCACAGTACTCCCAAGGGATGGAAAATCAGCTTTTTTTCCAGACCTAGATACTGGCTAATATATCATGGAAAAGCCAAACAGCTTACTTCTTCTTTGCTTGGAATCAGAGTAGAATTGCATTTTACAACAGTCATTAATGCATGGCTTAATGTTGGAAGGAATATTCGATTTCTTACTAAGACTGGAAATATGAGTTGGGCTTTCAAGTCTTCTGCCAACTGCCTCTGGCTTTTGCAGCAAGGGTAAACTGAAAAAGCTGTTGTCACATGTGGGCAGCAGGCATGCAATGCAGTTAATGATCCGTGATAAACCTGGATAATAAGCAGAGATGGAAAAGGTTTCTCCCAAATAGAATGGCAACTGGTGCTTCTTGGAAATTATCACGTTTCTTCATCCTTTTGGTTTTGGTATGAGAAGAATCAAATTTACAACAGTGACATCCCCCAAATGGTATAAATAAGGGTAGCATCTGTGGGGGTTTTGGGTAATTCTAATAAGTTTAGGAATTAATTAATGAAACTACAGCCTTAGACAAATTATTTCTTTACCTCCAGCAGCCACAGATAAAGAAGTAAAAAAAGACTGCTACTTTGTTCTGTTGGGTTTTTTTTTTTGCTTGTTTGTTTGTTTTTTCCAGAACTTTAGGATTCAATAGCTGTATATATTCAGCAGATTATTTGGGTCATCTCAGTATAAACCAGTTAAAGTAAAATAACTTTTAGGTGAAATGTTTAATCTTGTCAGATTACTTTCTGTTAAATTGATTTTCAAATACTGATGTGTTTCAGTCTTTGTTACATGTGATTAATGGTGTGTGGAACACTGAGTTTGTCTGAATATTTCTGTCACATACAGAAAGTCCTCAAAATCTAGCTCATATAAAGCAACTTTTATATTCTACTTTCATCTGAAATCCATCTTGAAAAATTAAAAGCTAAAAGAGCAAGATATGGAAAACTGCTTTTCAAGGAAGCCTACATTTAAGATACTGGTTAAATTATCAAGCCTTTTAATGACAGTGTATAGATTGTAAGATTCTTAATAATTCTTTTTTAGTGGATGTATTGCATATCAGACTGAGTGCTTATGAAAAGCCTTTTAAGTTTCTGTACTTGTTGCTTGGTTTTAGCCTTGTAAATGGTATTTTTATCCTTGTACAGGTTGTATAGAGATAGATGATCTTACAATATATATATCTAAAGATAGATTTATATAGATTTATCTCTAAATATAATTTACATTGATTTTCTCTCAAATGGATAGTTGGGCACAGACTCATATTTAAGTTAATGCAACTCTTCAAAGACTAAACTTTGGTCTCTTTCAATTAAAAAACACTTTACAAATGATTGTCAAGGGTTAAGTTTTTTTAGGAGACTAAAAGTAGTGTTTACTGTTTGTTGCCTTCAAAACTTGATAAATTTTTTGGTTAAACCAGGTTGTAAAGAAAAAAAAAAAATTATCTAAATTGCTTTTGCTTATTTGGTTATAGGTCTATAGATGTGGTTATAGGTCTAAATACTCTTTAGGAATCTTTAACAGGCAGACAAAAATTTATTGCTCTAAATAAGTCACTGTTAAGTTTAAACATTTGTATTAAAATATGCATAATTTTAGGAAACTTACTGTGGTATGTATTTATAAAATTAATCACAAACCAAATACTTTTCTTTAGGAAATGTAAGTCAGTGCACACTGGGTAAGCACTAACAGCTTTATTTAATATTCCTGTGAAGTGAAACACTTCTAATTCAGCACTGATAGCAGTTCTTGAACCGATGGAAATAGGCTAAACAGAGAATTAATAATTAAATATTTATCCAGGGAATTATTTAAATCTAAAGAGCTTTGTATTAAAAATAAAGCAAGCATTGTTTACATTCAGGATTTTTGTTGGGCTGCCATTAACATTTTCAAGGCATCCAGAGGTCTGATGGTAGTATGTGATGTACTGATAAATCTGGTTTCAGAAATGTAGCTGTACTAGGAGCATAGAGAGATTCTGAGAGATGATAAAAATATCTTCTTCCATTCTAGATGGAGATACATATAAATTTTAATCAATGGATTGATAGATATGTTAAAATATTAAAAACTCATATTTTTTGCTGAGCGTGAGTTCTGAATACTGAATCTGGGTTTCTGTTGCAGTACGAATACTTCAATGCCGTGCTCATAAATGAACGAGATGAAGAAGGAAACTACCTGGAGCTGGGAAAGGAGTTCATTCTAGTGCCAAATGACCACTTCAATAACTTGCCTGTGAACATCAGTCTGAGTGATGTGCAAGTGCCAACCAATATGTACAATAAGGGTAAGAGCTGGTTTATTTCATCATTCCTCTGGCTGAATATTATTTCAACATTGCTTTTAAAATTAAGCTGCTGATTAACTATATATTGCGTGGTTTTTTCAGTTTGCATTTAAACTGAAATTTCAGTGAAAGAATGTTTAAAGAATGACAGTTTTGTAATTTTCTGTGGCAATTCAGCAATTTGAATGGTCAATGATTTGTATATTAGATTTGCATGAATTCTGCCATAAACCATGTTTATTCTTATTAACTACTTTCTGGTATCTCCAAATCAGTTGAATAAATGTAACATTGTCACTTACAAGTTAAAGTCTGTTTGCTGAGAGCAAGAAGTGTCTTTGAAAGATGCAGGGTAGATGGGAGGGGAAATATGTTATTAGATTTATGCTCTCAAACTTTTGGGAATAATTCTAGCTATAGGACAGTATACATAGCTGCTCTGAGTTTTCAGATAATATTTAGGAGGAATAAACTACAGTAATGCTTCTACTCCCGTGACTATAGGTACTGGATAGCACATAGCACTAACAAAATAGCTACATTAGATATTAGGAGTAATGGACTTGGGTCTAAAAATTGGGAATGCAAACTGAACTCAGGTACATGTTTATTCATTTTCCTTTTGCCATTTCCCTTTGATGAGACAGCAGAATTTTGTAATTTTACTGTGCTTATGCAGCACTTATCTATTCATATTTCTCAAGCTAGTAATAGAAGAAAAATTAAGATAGCACCAAAGTTTCTGAACAATGTTCACAGTATATCTGTCATTGGTCTGTAGAGAGCTGCCTAATCTCATTATCTGGTTCCTCTTACTTATTTTAACTATACTAAAAGAGGTCTAAAAATACATTGAATGTTTTCTTTGTAATACGTTCCAGGCAAACAATGGTGGTAATTCATTGTACAATCATAAGTTGAAAAAGAATTAATTTTGATAGATTGAACTGGTAAGAGAAGGAATTACTATGACAAATTCTCTTCAATGTTATGGTTCAGTCTTCAGAATCTTGAGAAGCCAAAGATAGTACATTAATATCTTAACTTAGTGACTACAAAATAACAAAGTTTCCTAGAGAGTATTTGAGAAGCTGTGTAATTATTTATATGAAATATTTTGAAAAGGTTTGGAAAATGCTTAAAACTTCTAAAGCTACCAACCCCCCCCTCTCCCCCCCCTTTTTTTTTTTTTTTTTTTTGTGCAAGTGCTAGTAGTTTTATAACTGATTTTTTTTATAAATAATTTAATTCCAGAATTGCTAAGGAGGGGAAAAATATGGTTGCAAACAGACTTAGGGTTCAGGCAATCATATTTTTTCTGCAGAAGCCAACTAACCTGAGTAGTTGGTGAGAGCAGTAAAACTATTGTTGAACCTGAGTCAACCGGTGACAGGGACCTTCAGTTGCATGATATGTAGTCCTGGTATGTATAGAGTACATTTTTATATGCTGATTAATTACAGTCAAAGGTCAGAGTCAAAGGACTTCTTGCATCTTGTTTTGCCCGCTAATACAGGGGAGTGCCTGTGGAAATGGGGAAGATAGAACTCTGTGATGATTCCTGTTTCCACTTTGTCTGACTCAAGCCAGCCAAAATCATCGCTTCATGCAGCTGCAGAAAATAATTTTTTTATCATTTAAATGTATTCCAACTGCTGAAATCTGGTTTATTACTGACATTTTCCTTACACGTGGACATGATAGTCTGGGCTTGGAGACTGACAATGTCTGGAAATGTTACTCTTGCCAAGAAGAGGGCTGCGTACTTACTTTATTTTGCCCATTTCTTTAGTTTTGTAAGGCAGAGGGGTGATAACAAGTTAATTAAATCCTAGCATGAGGTTAGAGGCAGTAGATATTAATGGGTTCACAACTGAGTGTCTGCACAACACTGTTTCTCCAGAAAATGCCTGTTGTTTGTTTCCAGGTTGTTTTATTTTATTGAATTACTAGGCAAAACCACAGCCCAAACTCACAGTTGAAAACAGACAAGTGTGATAATTGAATATTTAAACACAGGACTCCCAAGTCAGCATAAAAAAAAGAATTTCTGACTTGTAAGTTAATTCTAAGGTTTTCCCTCAATTTTGCTGGGTTTTTTAATTTGCTGAGATACTGATGATTTGCAATAGGTTCGGAGGAGAGTCATGGGACTTATCAAAGACTTGAAAAATGTGTTTTAGACTGAAAGAGTCCAGGAGCTCAGTCCATTTAGCTAACTCAAGAGATGATTAAAGGATTAATTAGTTGATCTGAAGTTAATTACTAATACCAGGCTCTATAATCTGGTTGCCAAAGGTTTAAAAAGATTCAGTTTCTTTTTAAATTAAGACAGTGGTCTGCTGGAAGGGTGTTGTCCTGTGTGTCTCCCCAGAAGAAAATCCCCATTCTAGGGAAACCATCAAGTTTAGAAACTGAAAAAAACTCCAAAACCAAAAGCAAATTTCATGACACTTATGATAAAAAAAAAAAAAGTTAAAATACTGTAAGTAGGAAAACTATGACATTAAAATTTAAGATGGGGCATTTTGAAAAGGAAATGAGAGCAAACTAAAAAAAGGCTGCCAACCGCGTTTGTAAGCATACACATAACCCTAGTGTCTTTCAGTACAGATTGCAAGCACCTACGTGTAGAAAGAAAAGTAAAATAGTGAATTTAATAAATCACAGTTTTGCATTTAAAGTACTATTGATCATCACTTCAAAAATATAAAGAGCTGGTCTGGCTATTGATGTGCTCTTAGGCTTTTCATTCCCCTCTTCTGCACACTGTTGCCCCCTAGTTTCTCCAAGTGGACTGCAATTAATGTTAAAAATAGAGAAGTTACTGATCTACAGAATATAAAACCTATGCAGAATATAAAACACTATTTCAACATATAATTTCCTATAATGTTCATATATTGCAGGAATTAAGAAAAAAGTGGGATGATTGTGCTTTACAGATAAGTGTGCTTATCTGTCTGTCAGTACAGAGAGCTATCTAGGCTGCTGCACAGCCAGGCTAGCAGTCCGTAGGAACTGCAGAACATTCTGATGGAATTGGCCTCCTTTATTTTCTCTGAAAATGACTGCTTATGATAATGTTTTGCTTTTGAAATGTTTAAGCACACATCAGGGTCCTAAATGTCAGTGAATCCTGTTTCTTCTCTTTAAGCACAAAGTGTATTCATTGCCTAAAGCCACAGGATTTACAAGGCAGTGTATCTTCTAAAAATGAATAAAAATTTGAGAAGTTACTGTCTTAGCAAGTGGTAGCTCTTCTTCTTACCACAAATGTGGTAATTGACAATTATCAGCCAAGTACAGATTTCTGACAAAGTAGGGAAAAGGCTTCTCGGTGAACTAATCATATAGGTATATTCACAGATGAAAAAAGAAGTGAGGAAAAAAATTTACTTTTTCATATTAGAAGGAGAGTTTAGTTTTGGAAACTACAGAATCAGTCCGAATCCAATGTGGACAATGCAGTACCAAGGAGAATGCCCAGATATGAGAACAAGTTGCATAAGGCACTAATTTAGCTGTTACTGTTTTACTAATGAAGTTAATTACAAGGGTTATGTACTAGGACCAAAGTGAGTTTTCATATCCTTTTTATTTTTTTGTCTCTCTCCTATTATTTTAGAATCTAAGGGATTTGGGACATGTTTCTTCCCTATATACTTGTAGGGGTATAGCTTTGGAAGATAATCAGTTATTCCTTTCTACATATGAATTGGTGTATTTTAAACAGCTATTGTAGAAGAGAATAATAATAATGAAAAATTATAAGCGATTTAAAAGTTTATGTAGTTTCAATGTTTGTTTCATGGTTTTCTGAGATGCTAGTTGTATATTTACAAGAACCTAGGAATGTGACATATAATTAAAAAGTAGGCATTTGGAATGTGAGCAAGACTTCCTAGCAACCATGCATGGAGAGCACAGTTTCTGGCAGTAGGATTGCCACTGGGAAAAAGTAGGATTCTAGAATGGATTTATATACACAAGGAGATGATAAAAGAAGGCTTCATAACACTCAAATCTGATCTTGCTGAAGTTGACAGCATATACAAGGAAAAGAGTAGCATTTTAACTTCTGTAAGTACAAGAGTGTAGGAAGTAATAAATTTTTTTAAAAACTACATTCTTTGTCCAAATTGTGCTTTATCTGAGCTGAAGAACCTATTCCAGTTTTATTTTTCTAAGACTGTCACCTAATAATTATCAATAGTTGTAGACAGTAATGACGTTTCCTGCTGTTGAGTTTACACTCAGCAGTTTTTCAACTTCTTGATAGATGCTTATGAATACGTGGATAAATATGGATTTCAGAGGAATGTAGATGAAAAACAAAGCTAGAGGGTGAATGTGTCTTGGTGACATACACTCAGACAATTCTAAAATACATCACCTGTTGAAAATTGAAGTATAGCATAGTACAGTACCAGAAGTGACACTCAGCAGGACCTTCTCTGCTTGTGTTAGCACTGCAGAAAATCTAGGAAATTCACAGGATTTTTATAAATATATTATCTCAATATCAATGGAAATAACTTCTGATTTTGAGCTTTTGCAATCAGTCTTTGTTTATATGGCAAGGCAAATTTCATATTTGCAGTTTGTAGGAGGGGGAAAAGCCCCTATGTCTGCTTTTCAAGACTTCAGATAACTCTAGACATAAGCACTTCCACTTCCCTTTTAAACTCTTTCTTTTGTACCCTTCAGTTTCTCCCTTGGGCGCTCAGAATTGTGGGGTTTTATATTTTGCAAATTTTACTCTGTCATTCTCCTAGTGTTACTAGTTGTTAAAAAGAGATTAATTCGTTAACATAATTGGCTAATGTATCTAGCACTAAAGTCCCCTTTATCAAGTACAGGTGAAAACTAGAGGGCTGGACTCCTGGAAGTCAAGGACATTATGGCAAAATCAGTATTAGACTGCAGCTGCCTCTTCCATCCCTAGAAATGCAAACAGGCAACTACTTAGATACATGACAGCAGACACCTGCTTGTCT